GCTCACAAGGTCTGTCCCCGAAGCAGTTCATCCGAATGGAACGCATCACTTGATACATGGATTTGCGCGAGGGCTTGTTCTCATGAAAGAGATCGCCTGCAAGAAGCACCATGTCCACATCGTGCTTTTTCGCTAGACACATGATTTCATGGAAGCTTTTCCAGCTGTCATCACCCCTGATGGGATCCCTCTCATTATAGCCAACATGATTGTCGGTTGCAACGAGAATGCGGATCGTTTCCGCGTCTAGTAGGACCATCAATGTACGTTCGATGACGGGGGGGACTAAGAATTTCCCACTTACCACCGAGACGAGGCATATCAACACTATTAGCAGATACGCATCAAGATGAGGTAGAGGATGGATAAGCTCCAGTGTGAGTCAAGAAGGAGCCTGCGGTAAGATGGTCTGTCTTCTATGTACTGAATCTCATGTGAGCGTTGCCTGATAGGTTTCAAATGAGGGGAAATAATCAGGTGACGTTTAGATAGTCCCAGACAACGCGTTTCTAGGCAGACATAATTTAAACACACAGATTTGATATACGCTCGAGTGAAAGACCAGATCCGATCCATCTATGGAGTCAACTCACTCGGGACACCTGCATGTTGCGGCGCGTGGGCACGTGACCGACACGCGAAAACCGCCACCTCAGGCATCGATTACATAACCGGTGGATTTTCCGCATTCTCGTGCCAAGCCTGCTTTGACTTCATCTCAACTCTTATCATCATCCTTCTCCTTCTCCTTCTCCCGAGTCACCTCCTGCTCTACCCTCCTCTTCCTGTCGGATCTTCGAATCTCCTCTTTCACTCACTGTAAATACAACATTGCCGATCTGGTGCGCTTCATATTGTTCGATATCCATATCTATCCGTGTCGTTGACGTCTTTCGCCCGATTCGTCTGTTCTATCTACTCTCCGACTGACCCAGAATCTTCGCCTGGTTCAGTCGTCCCCGTTGCTGCCGTTACCTTGCGAGACCTGTTTATGCAACCAGAGTCCACTGCAGTTTTCGAACACAATCGCTCACCATACCCATCGTCCGAAAACTTCTCTTTCACCCAGGATGGACATGATTCGTGTGGCGACCATCGAGTCTCTGGCCTTGACCATGACAAGGCTGGGGACTCCAGAGCCTTGCCTGGTCCCTCTGTGGACCAGTCGGGCCTAGACCAGCCAACTCAAACATCCGCGCTGGTTGATAGGGTTAGCCAGTATGAAAAGGCAGCTGCTCGCACGCCTAGAAACCAGGAGGGACTAGGTTTCAGAGTAGTGGCCATGTCTACTCCGTCATATCTGTCCCTGGAAGATTTTCCCAATGGTAGGTCGTCAAATCGATTAGACACGGGGCACGGACCTTCGGCTAACGCAACGATCGACAGAGGTTCTGACTCACATCCTCTCTCACCTGCCTCCGCAGTCGCTCTCATCTATCGCACTAGTGTCCCATCGCTTGCACAGCCTGGTTACGACACCCCATGCATGGAGGATTGCCTTCTCCCGTTACTTTCCTGGGCCAAACGCCGAAGATGGTGTGCCGTTGTCTGCGGCCGATCGATCCGATAGTTTGGCCTTCGACAAACGGCACTTCTCTAGGCTGACCGCTTTGGCATCCTGGCGAAGCGAGTACATCTTGCGCACTCGTCTGTTGAGGTCGCTGTCGCGGGGGAAGCCAGCGCAGTTTGCACCATCGAAAAAACATGGCACGGTTCGATCGGCGAACATGCGCAATGGGAGTGCTATTCTGACCTACACGTCCCAGCTTTTGTACCCCGTCAGCCATGTCCATGGCGTCTTCGGCAACGAAAATTCTAAGAAGGAACCTCTGTTCATGCACGGGGCTGCAGAACAAGGCATCGCGTCTGCTAGCGACCCCTCGACCGTGAAGGTGGGCACGTGGGGTGTGTCGGACCACCAGCTGTTCCGTCATTTCGCGGAGATCTTTCCGGGTGATGCAGAGTACGGGTTGGGGGCCGGAAATCTGGTTGGTTTGTCTAACCGTATGGATGTCAGCCAGCCTTATGGTATGATATACGGGGAGGCGTGCCCTCAAGGACGCAGTTACTTTATCTCGTCTGTCGAGCAGCGTGGGCGGTTTTTGAACCTTGTTCAGTCCAGCCCGCATCCGCACCTTGGCATTCCAGTCCTAAATCCGATCGCCACCGCAGTCACTTCAGTATGGATTGCGAAATCTTCTCCGATATTGAAGTTGACTGGGGGTCTGATTGGTATGATGTCCGGCGCTTCCTCCGGCGTTCTCACAGCTTTTGCCCTTGGGCCCCATCCCACCTATGAAAAGAGGTTCGAAAGAGGTCAGGTAACAGCGAAATGGGTACTTTGCCCGGGGGTTCCCATCATAGCAATCGCGGTGGATGAGCGCTTCTCATCTAGGCGCTATGGTCGTCGCCGAATTTGGGCGGCAGTGCTCAATGCGTTGGGTGAGGTATTCTATATCTCGGATATGCCTCGCCAACCTGATACTTCATCGGCCAAGATGAGCGCAGAGCAGGTCGACGCATTAGCCTGGAAGACAGGTCGAAGTGCTCGCTGGGAGCTTGTGGAGCTGAGCAGGCGAACGGCAAAACCCGATCCCTTCAATCGGGAACCGGTTGATGGCAGCTACAGCCCTAGGTCCTCATCGGACAACATGAAGCTTAGCAAGGAGCAAGTGGCTACAGAGACAAACGAAATTCAACGATTCATGTCCTTCAAGCCTAAACACTTCCGGAGGGTTTGTGAGGGCTGGGATATGAGACGAGACCTGATTGTCGATTTTGCTGGTGATGATTCCCATGGTGCTGGCGAGTCGATGATTGTTGTTACCCGTGGCGCTGGTGGGGGCGAGAAAGCTTCCATTCGCCGGTATACTAGGAAACTATCCAAGGTCGAATCGCCACCGGCACTTGAAACTTACCCGTCTCTTGCTGAAGCCAACTCTGCGGCGTCAATATTTGGTGGACTGGCGGCGTCCCCGTCGGTGACGCCAGATTCAGCAGACAGTGCCCCACCATCTCGTGCTTCCAGTCGACTCAATGGTATTGTATGTGGAGAGGAGAACACCCAATGGTTTATCTCAGACTTCTCGTTCGGTGACCGGAAAGCCGTCCGTATCACGGCCAGCGCGTTAGATACGTCCACTTATGCCCTGTTGACGGCTGATGAGGATCCTTTACTGGGAATGAACGGCACATCACCCGTGTCATCTACTACATCCTCCCCTCTGCCTCATATGCAGCAATCTGGCTCGAACGTCGAAGTTCCTGGGCAGCGTGGACGGTATATGGCCGTTGGCACTAGCACCGGACTGGTCTTTGTCTGGGATGTGCGATCACCCACCTCGAAGAATCTAGAGATTATCAAGTCCATTACACCAGTGCGTATCTTTCAAACGGAGTCACCACAGGTTTCTTCGTTGGCCTTGACGTCTCTCTATCTCGTCCACGGTGGGAATGATGGACTGGTTCAAGCATGGGACCCCCTCGCTTCCTCGTCCCGCCCTATTCGGACCATCAACTCTCGATTCTCGTCACGGGCCCGTCGCAGACTAGTCCAAGCCGAGGCCTCTATCCTCGGTGTTGGAAACAACTTCTATGCGACAGGCGCGATGTGCCTTGACCCTGACCCAACTGTGCTACGGGGCATGGTGGCTCTAGGGACCCATCTGCGCTATTGGTCCTATGGTTCCACGGCCGCGGACCAGTACAAGACCAGCAAGCGTCGGTTCCGTCGCACTCAACGAGGCAGCAACGCAGCCGCCGACGCCCAGCGATTCAACAATAGCGGGCGTGGAGCACTCCAGGACGACATCGAAGACGAATTGGAGGAACTGAAACGGCAGCATGTAGCCGACCGAAAGCAAGAAGCGCATCTCCGCAATCGTTTCGGTACCGATCTCCTCGGGCCCGATTGCAGCGAGGAGGAAATGCTAGCGTACGCGCGACTGCTGAGTGAAGAGGCGTGCGCTGATCATGCGAATAAGCGCGGTGAGGTGGCGGGGACCTCGGTTGCCAGTACCGCCTCGTCCAGCGGCACTGTCGGACGTAACGGCAGCCTATTCCCAGCAGATGAGCTATCGTCCTCTTCGTCTCCGTGCGAGGAATCCGCCGATGATGACCTCGCGCCTGACATCGCCGAAGCAATCCGGTTAAGTCTCCTCGACGAGCCGCCTAGCGGGCTTGACGAGAGTAAATTTCCCGAAACGTCCGACCAGCAGCACCACAACGAATTCTTTCCGGACGACCCTGCCATGGCAGAAAGCAGTAATCGTCAGGAGATGGACGACCTGGAGCTTGCCATTCAGCTGAGTCTGGCAGAGAGCGTGCAGCAGGACGAACAGGGCTGGGAGGAGTTCCCCGGGCTGGCTGAGAGGTCTTATTCGGGATCAGAGGGTACAAGGAAGGGCAAGGGCAGAGCTGTTTAGTACTGTATCAATTTGTTTTGTGGATTTTTCGCAGGTTATCAAAGTTTTCGAAGTGATCAATAGATATGCATCTTGAATTCAAGCATCAGCAATACCGGGCAAAGCAGTAGAATAGATGTGGGATGGGTCTCTACAGCCGTTACATTATCGTCCATCACCTTCGGGTCTGAACGGATGGGTATCCGCCATCAGCCTGTCTTCATTATCAATGTCACCATTTTACAAGTCTGACCGATGACATCTTTTGTTGCGAAAAAATTACCAATCGGCCTCAAAAGATGTCTTGACACCTTCTGCGCTCCGCAAGTAATCCTTATACATCCTGTGTTGCGACATCTATCTCAAGATATTCCCCGTTTTCATCGTCTCTCCACAATAAGCCCGGAATCAAACTAGTCTTCCTATCCTCTATCTGTTTATCCTTTACTTAGGATTATATCCATGGTTATTAATCTATCTAGTGATCTGCAATGGAACCTGTCCAAATTTCAATCGAAATGCATTGCCTATCTCGTGGGATGATGACATGATACCTCACAGTCGATCGAGTGCCAAACATCAAACCCTACCTAATACTCAATCTAGATCATTCAAATTCACAGTGATTCGATGTCGTTGCGACTCAAAGTACTGCAATGCATCCAGGACATACTGCGTTCTCAGCTCATTGGGGTCAGCCGCAGACCAAGCGGCCCGCATTTCCTGGATACACAGGGTCACCCAGGCCCTGCCGTCGTTCTGCATACGCTGCAAGTGGGCTTTGAACCAGTCGCTCCAGTAGTCAGCGATGCGCGTGGGCGATCTTCCATTCGCAGCCGCGACCCAGGCTGTATCGTCGCGCTGCAGCTCTTCCTTGATCCGATTCGAGGTTCCCGTCAGGTTGCCGTGGACGGTGGGGAAGTTGAGGTAGGCAAAGACGTTGAAGGTCACGCGAATGTTGGCGAGTCCTTCCCGCCATCGATCGCGATTCCTGTTCAACTCTATACGTTTTAGAGCCGTATAGCTATCTTTTTTACCCCACAGCTAAAGAATATCCCCGTCAGCGAATTGGTGGGGTCGGTTAGTAGAACCAAAGGCAACAATCCACTCACATTTGCCTTATACTGATTGATTTGCCTCTCTAAATGGGCAAAATGCTCCCAGTTTTCGATCCAGCCATGGAGTTGCATCAGACGAACCGTGGGGACGTCACTGTTGGTTTCACTTCCTGGCGTCGTCGGCGGGTTGTTCAAAAGGGGTTTGGTCAGACTCTTTACAAATCCACAGTAGATCTGAGGGTAGCCCGAGCTCGTTCCGTTGGGAAATATGTTGTCAGCTACATCATTGAAGAATAACTTCAGTGTCTGGAGCTCCATGATGTGCTCAGCTAATGATATTGTTAGTTTTTTATTTTTATTTTTTTCTCGGGACCTTTTCTGGATGGACAATGCCACTCACTGACGTAATAACGGCCATTAGGAATTACGTGCCCGCTCACAGTTATATCTGTGCAATCGTTGACGTTTGTAGTGTCCAATGAGTTGTCGTAGTGGTAATCATCCCCACTCCAGTCGGATTGCGTTGGGTACTCAAGATTCTCATAGGACCATCCAAGCTTTCTTCCGGTATCTTCAGCCAGGCACCTTGAGTTATAGGGAGGTCGAACGCCTCCGTTGACAAAGATTGGATCACGCTTCTGATGATCAGATGCGCGTCCCCGGTGGGCACCAGGCTGGTCGACGTCGCAGTCGCCAATGTGCCCAGTTTCGCATAAGTCAATGGCTTCGCAACGGAGCTCGTCATCGTCATCTTCCTTGTCAAGGGGGCAGCTGAGGATGTCGGACTTGAACATGGTCCAGGGCCAGTGACGGTTCCTGTACTTCGGAATATAGCTACCGTCCTTGTCCTGCTTATGCAGGCGAGCTCCCCCTGGTTGCTTGCCGACGGCAGATCCTGGGCTGACCATGTTATCCCAAGACTCGATGGAGCCTTTTCCAGAATTCGTCAGGGAGTAATACAATGAGTCCATGAGGAGATCGACGCCCTTCGGACCCCAGATAAGTCTGTTTGGGGTATAGACATTTAGTAGATAACTGGTCAAAAGGTCGCTACTCCCTCGGGCTTGAATGTCACGCCTTCTGCTTCCAGTGATTGCCGTGGAGCTTTCTTGGTCGAAGTCGATCTCCATTGCGAACTTTGGGTTTAGGGTAACCTCGACCTTCCCATTATCTGTATGCATGTATCCATGGAAATTCCTCCCAATGTTGGAGGCTTTTAGACCACCGCGTGTACCACCAGCACCATACGGGAATGTCAATCGCATCCATCCATCGTTCTCAAATGGGTCCGTCTGGGTGCGAAAGTGGGTGACGAAAGATCTGGGCTGGGTCAACACCTGGAGCATTGCAATTGAGTACAAAGGGACAAGAGCACATACCCAGCGAAGGAGGAATTGTCGCCTTTGATGCCAATCTGGATATCAAAAGATGGTTTAAACGACACAATGCCCGGGTGGGAGAACACGATATCCGAATTGGGGGTGGTATGAGCCGGTCTGGTCTTATATTCGGTGTCGACCGCCGCGTAGCCAGTAACATTGATTGTGGCATCCAGATCCAATTTTAGATCTACAAACCCATACGCCTCATCAATCTGAAAAGGCTGTAGAGTGCCGATCATCGTAAACCCGAATCTCGCTTTGAGCGTACAGGTGCCGTTGGATTCGATCTGTAAGTATGAGTCACCTTCGCATTGGAGCTGCTCGTCGATGATGACTTCTGATGCCGGCTCTGAGAGATCGGTGTAGTAGTCTATGTGGTTTTTGGAAAGTCTATCAAATTCTGTTTGACATTAGCCATGGCGCGCTCTTGGAAGTCTTTTCGGAAAGGAAAGAGTAGCCAACTCACTACGAGCCCAGTCTGCTGCATCATCAGAGAAGAATCGTTTGTCCATGGGATCGTGTTGTGAGAAAAGTTCTCGCTTGCTTTTTTCCCCCGGCTTATCTACTATTGTATTCCAGTATCCTGGAAGATTGCTGAATGGATGATGAGCGTTACTGTGAGACTCGTACAAGGTGCTTGTCTGTAAGTACTTACGAGTAGTCAACGCGAAGTTGGACTTTCTCATTAGACCGCTTCATGAGTGTAAAGTCGTATGAGAGCTCCAGATCCATGACCATCCTGCTACTCGGCATTCTCTTTGCCAAGTCTGGTGGAAGTGTTTGGTTCTCAGACGGGCTCAGGGAATGAGCAACGGCATATGCTCCCAGACCGCAGTTATCCGGCATGCGCACGACTGTTCCCTCGACTCCGCCCTCTAGAATATCATCGCAGTTACTTTCCTCCCCATCTTTAGTGCAAATCAAGCGAGTTTTCTGGCGCTCTGATGACACAATGGAAGGGCAGTCGACAAACTCGACATGAGAGCCGTCTCGCTTCGAGAGACTCGAGACGATATTTTTAGGACCGGAGATCAATACAAATCCAAACGCCCCATCATTTGGATTTGTTATTTGAACATGTGATGTCGTCTTTCCATTGCTTGCATATCCTCCTAGGAGTTGCAAATCCCACTTGACAGGGTCCGTCATAGGGGGGGGTTCTGGGAAGAGATTCTCCAGGGCCACCGGGATGAACGGTTCGACGTTGTCTGGTGGCGCACAGCACAGACTCTTCTTGCGTCCAGCAACACCACATAACGTCGAGGAATCACCATAACCACTGAGGGACAATTGGACATCGTCACTGAGGAGATGAGATTAGAGCGGCGTGAGAAAAGGGAGCGGATTGGTAATTACTTGTCACAATTATTATCATCGCAGCTTCCTTTCCCGACCCAATGGCAATCTTGAAGAGGCACCTTGCAGCACCAGGGTCGCTTGTATCCATGGATTGCATGGTTCCAGCAGCTGCCAAAATCATATTGTTTGGCAACCTCCGTGGTCCCTTTGGAGCAGGATCCTCCACAGCTGCCTAAGCTGCAGCCCTCTAGAAGCCCTTTGTACCGATCGGCTGTGCAGCAGTATGCCTGTCTTCCGAAGGTACAGACCGCTGGGGATTCATTAGCAGTTGACCATCTATCGCTGTCGTGTAAGGCACCATGCTGGAACTGTTTTTTTTTTTTTTTTTTTTTTCCATCCTCCTAACAGGGTGCATGGGAGCAGGGAATGATAGGAAGAAAGTTCCATGCTACTTACAGTCGCCATGCTTGTCCAAGAGAAGCGTGAGCTCACCCTTATGACACTGGCCGTGGCAAAAACTCCAATCGTTACCTCCTCTCCAACGACAGCTGCGAGGTGCCCTGTCCCGAGGGCAGCAGATTTGCTTGCCAGCTTCCCCATCGCAGTTAGAACGAAAGTTGTCTTCCAAAACAGCCTCCCCAGCTTTACATTTCTTGCCACAAGCCGTAGCGTAGCAATCTTGACCTATACTATCTCGTCAGTAAAGCCCAAGCAATTCAGGAAAACTGCTCTTGCCGTTATCAGATGACCAGCTCGCAGCCTGCCTTTTTGTTTTCACCAGACTCTTGTCGACTCCCTTGCCAGGGCTACGGCCAATCAAGCCTCCAAGCTCGGTGAAATCCTCGTCGTCAAGATCAATTGCCCAGATCATCAGACCCCCCAGACCGACGGAGTTTGCCCAGTCGACTTTCTGCTGGAAGGTTTTGGCATCGTCATACGAAACCCACTGATCCTTATCGAACGTGAAGTAGTTGACTGCAGCGTCTTTGTCATGGATCTGTGTGATGTTTCGGCTCTTCATGATATCTTTGATTTCACACCAGCCGAGAATGCCGCCTTCACCGGTGCACTCTCCCTTCTTGGCAGCCCCCTTGAAGGGGCATCCCGGTGCGGTACAGTCGATGCTATTGAGCTGGAAAGATCGTCCATAGAACCCTGTCCCCAGAATGACCTTTTCTGGCGGAATATTGTTACGCCAGAGCAAGTTGACGCTCTCTTTGATCTCCGTCAAATTTGTATGGCCGTGTACGTAGCTCCCGATAGGGCTATCCTGGTCCCATACGCCTACCAATCACTTAGTCTAATGCTTTTTTCATTCGGTAGAGCGCGCGCCCCTCGAAAGGGGGAGAAGAAGTAGGAGCGTATAGTACCGTGCAAATCGTAGGACATCAAATTGACCCAGTCCGCTCCAGCATCAAGCATTTTGGGGACATCAAACCAACGAAGATACCAGTAGCTGGATGGAATCGTGAATGTCAGTCCGTATCCACCACGAGCACTTTTCTTGAATGTTTTCTGAAGAGTCTCAATTAACTTGACAAAGTTCTCTGTGTCGTCTTTCTTGCCTCCCCTATCCCCTGCCCCGGGGTATTCCCTGGTCTTGAATTAGCCGAATCATCATGCCATGGCCCCGGGGTACCATTCACCAATCTAGATCCACTCCATCAAAACCATAGTGGACCATAAAAGTGACCAGAGAATCGGCAAAATCTTGTCTCTTCTTCTCAGACCGTGCAATGTCGCCAAACACTGGTTGGGTGTCGGTATTGTTGTTCGAGAATGTCCAGCCACCAATCGCGACCCACACCTCAACTGGTGATCCTGCGAGTCCCGATTTCATGGACTTGATTGCTGTGATTTCCTGGAAAAGGCTCTCAGGGGTTCCAGAATCCATAGTCGTGATCTTAGTTGAATTAGGATCAATATATGCGAAGGCAAAGTTGACATGGGTCACCCCGCCGATCGGGATATTCCAAGGTTGGACTTTGTGACATTCGCGAGAGGCGCCCCTGCAAACCATGAGATCAGGCTCCTTTCAGAGGCAAAGAGTCACGTACCAAGCTTCATAGTATGCGATCACCTTGCTTCGAACATCGCGTGAACTCCGTCCTGGCGGCACAGGTGGTTGACCACAGTTGCTCTGACATTTTTCTGAACAAAACTCTTCGGTTGTCCCACAGTAACCGGCCCTTGATGTGCGCATATGCTCAGTATATTTACCCAGTGATCGGATAGAGCAAGGTACTTACTCGCTACAACAAACATTCAGAGGACATGTTCTGTTTCCGGTGTCCGAGTATTGGCCACAGTCAGCTCTGGCGTCGCAGTTGGAATTGCACCCATCGCCGCAGTGGTCAGGGCCTAACAAGTCAGCAGCTCAATCTTGTTCAGGGGTAGAATGATGAGAGAGTTACTGAATCCACAATAACCAGCCGCGCTACTACAATCATTGGCATTCGTGTTAACTTGCTTTCTCCGCTCAAAATCATATATATTGTTCGAGGAGCAGAACCATACCAACACGCGCCATTTGAGCAGGGCTTATCCTCCGAGCAACTGGAGTCGTCACCTGTAGTTTCCCTCGTTTCTAGAAAGGGATTGAAGTTCCTGTCCAGATGAGTATGGCTCCCATGGTCACGCCCGGCAAGGGACGATTGGGTTTTAGGCCATAGAAAAGCAGCCGCCGAAAAGACAGTTAGGCATATTATCAAAACTCTATACATCAAATGTGGCTTCAGACCGTCACCTATCAGATTTGTTGCCAAATCCATAGTACCAACCTAGACCTGAACTCGACTGCGGTACGTTGGAAGAGACAGAAGGAAAGCAGAAGGATCAAATCCAGATAAGTATGAGAAATGTGGCCAAGCTTCCTCGCACCGTCGCCTAAATTCCCAACAGAAGAGGTTTTACGCACCAATTGGTACTTACGCTAGTCTTCCTACGTCCTTTATATCTCTGTAGTTCATTGACTGAATCAAACCCCGCAGAAGAAAGGAATGCAGCCCTCACTAGACACTTATCCCTGGGATGGAAGGGGCCAAAAGCACGACCTGGTTGGATGACACTGTTTCAGGGACTGAGATCTTTGGCAGGTCTTGTTGACTTACTTGGTAAAGTAAGGCTGCCTGTAGTCTGCTACATCTCAAGTGTACTCAGGCATAGATAGGTACTAGTTTCACTTGCTAGTTCTGTCAGGGATGGAGCAAGGAATGTTAAATTAGGAATTATTGACTGTCAGTCTTGTAGCTATTCGATAGGTAGTTGTTGACATTGACTGAGGGTCAGTGAAACCTATGCCTTGCATAAACGCATACGGAAGACCTAATTAGGCTTAAGGCTAGGATGCAGTGACTTCTGCACTGCATGATTCATGAGACAATCTGCTTGATATCCCTAGATATTTCTAATGCCAGCAGTGGCCACCCAACCTTTGGTACCTTGCAGGGTAAGGGTGTCCAAACAAGTGGGATTATTGGCTCGACAGATCTATACATTTCCAGCCTCGTTGTGGTCGTGCATGAGAGCGAACGAATAGAACAGGGAGCCCCTACTTATCTTGCGTGACAAAGAATGTGATCCAGATACGAGTCTTTTCAAGATAGTATTTTCCTCACATAGTTGAGCTGAAGCTAAAGCCCAGCTAATCCTGATAAAATCGCGCAATTACCTTACCATTTCATTCCTGGCGACTTCAAATCAGGACCTTCTTCCCTCCCGGTAAGGCCGAATGGCAGTTTGCTGATCTCTTTGACGATCAACTTAATTAACGTTGGCACTGTTGTCAAACGAGGTAAAATCCGAATGAACTCTGGTTTGAGGGCTGTTCCTTTTACCTCAGGTGAATACCTCCCCTCCGCTTTCAATCCCATCGATAGCAAAATATACCAATAACAGCATCATCACAATGAGCAACACCCAGGGCTGGTTGTTCACCCTGATGATGGGTTTTGTTACTGCTCAACGGTTCCCCATGGGGTTCTCGTATGACACGGATATTCCTTCATTGACTCAGCCCTGCCGGGATGCTCTCAACAGCACGGTCGACTGCAGCTGGCAACTAGCATTGTACAACACTGAGGACATTGAATTGACTACGAGCAATCTGACCAGACTGTGTACCTCGAGTTGCTACAACTCTTTGCTTCACTCTCGTGGTATAATCCAGTCAGCCTGCTCTGCGAAATCGAACGAGATCGCGGTAGATGGTGATATGTACCCGGCTACACAACGAATCGACAGCTTGATCGATACATACAGCAAGACATGTCTGAAAGATCAGTGAGAAGAAGATCCAATGTAGCATTGATTATACACACAGCTAACACTGAGTCAACAGGGGGACCCATCGATTCTGTCACGATGTCATGGGTTCATGGCAGAACCTAACGAAGCTCACCAGCGAGCAAAACTGCTCATATTGTATGCTAAAAACACGACAACTCGGCCTGAGTTCTGATTTCTCATACAACCCGCACGCTTCCAAGGAATTTGCCTCGTTGACCTCGAGTTGTGGCAAAACTGGCTTCGAGCCGACCATTCCCACTTCCATCGTCACTAGCAGAAGCAGCACGGCTGCAGCTCCTTCAGTGACACCGTCTTGCGCAGCTACATACACAATCAAGGCTGACGACACTTGCAACAGCATCTGTAAGGCTCATGGTGTGTCGACCGATTCTTTGACTATGTTGAATGGTTTGCCCGCCTACTGCAAGCATTTTCCATCTGCGGGCACAAAGCTCTGTATGCCGCCCAAATGCGCCATCTACACGGTTGCAGCTAACGACACCTGCCAAAGTGTCGCGAATCAGCAGCCGGGATACGTCACGATAACCCAGCTCCAGTCGTGGAATCCGAATCTGAATGGGCTTTGCACCAATATGGGACATCAAGTAGATATGCAGATCTGTGTGAGGTAAAACATTATCCCAGGCCCCCAATTCTCACACCAATACTAACAGTCTCGTCAAGCCCACCAGGAGAGGATATATTAAGCCCAACAACGACCATCCCAGCAGCAGAAACAGCAACAGTGTAAGCTTAGCCCCCCCCAAATCTCATGTGATACACTGATGCCGTATAGACGCGGTTCCACCGGCCCATGTACTGGTCCAGGGTCTCCAGAATCCTGTTATAGCGACTGGGCCAGCCTATCGCCTACTCCATTCGGATCCCATGCAACCTACACATCACAGAGCGCCGAATCTACCGGGTTTACCCCAGCATTTACTCCAAACCCAACTGCGCCTGGGACGGCGTCGCGCGCGAGCTGTGATCAATACATTTCGTATCTTGACACCGGCGACGAATCCTTAGATAAAACGATCAATACCTGCGGGGGTATCGCCAAACTCTATGGAACAACCGCAGAGAAATTGAAGGAGTGGAACCCAAGCCTTCGCAGTTCTCAGCCTTGCTTACTGAAAACGGGGCTTAGCTATTGTGTCGTAGTCAAAGATGGTATGTGTAATTCCTCTTGTTACTTAGTTGGTTGCTGTACTGATTCTCGAAATAGCGTCAGCGGATTAGCATCATCATTAAAAATTGCAGAGAAACAAACCTAAGCCATGACCGATGATTACTGCCACTCATGTCGGGACGAAATACCAGTATAGGCTAGTTGGGATAGCATGCCAGGAGATCAAACTGCCCATGACACTTGATGCAATAGGTCTTGTAAAAGGTTTCAAGTTTATTCTTGTTCATGAGCCTCTGACCCAGTAGGATTCTGCGAATGACAGCTGCTAGGTGGTGTAGTAGACCGGTAGACCTCGTAGGTCGATGTAAATCAGACACATAAACAGTAGAATGAAATTAGAACGATTAAGAATACTAGGAAACTCAAGTTCTCCACCTACGTCTCAACGCTAGTTGATAATCAGGAGGAGACACCATGCTCAGTCATTAATGGGATGGAGATCCTGCATAGCATCTGCATTGGCATCCATCGTCAAATTTAGGTAGAAACCCACCAACCCCGCCACAGCAAGCTGACCAACCCCTCGATAAGTCTCCCGGGGGTCCTGTCGCGACCGGTTCCAGAATCCGTCCACAACAGTGACGGTCTTGTGGTTGTAGATCCGACAAAACTCGACAGCGTCATCGGGGAGCGAATCAATATTGGCTAGCATGGTAATGGCAGCCTCGTCGAGCAAAAGGCACGCTTGGTTCCGAGCAGGTGGCATAAATCCGGATGTTCGGGGATCATCATCCTCATTGTCACTTCCGCCCAAACGTAAGCCTCTAATCTGGGCGTGGAACTCCTCACGTACGCGATCGACAGACGCTGCGTCCAGGGCATCCCGATCTTCCACAACATTGAATTTGAATCGGCGGAATGCTTCATCCGAGTAGATGGGCAGGGTCCCGATGCTCAGACACTTCTGAACCACCTTGACCCAGTTGGCCAGTGCCTGTGGCAGTTTCTCTCGCGCGCTGTCGGAGTAAGTCGTGACAAAGACGTAGTAGCCCCAGGTGGGGTCATCCTCGACAAATGTCCAGTTTTCAACCTCCTTGAGAAGCTTGCGGGTCTCGTCCACGCTCGGATAGTAGTTCTCTGGGCCTTGTGGATGAGTTGTCGGGTCCGCTTCCGCCTCGAGCTCTGTCATGGACCGTGCAGTTCTTTGGATATCGTTCGTAGCTGCCGGTCCAAATGGTCGCGCGATGTAGCTTCGCGTCTGGGGCACTGGTCTGGTCGCGAGAGTGGGATCAGGAGGAGTGATTGGACGGGGTTCCTCCGGTCTTTGTCCCCGACCAGTCATTGTTCAGTGTTGTGAGGATTTAGTTAGAAGAGAAGTAGAGTAGGGGCGGGGACGAATAGGTCGAAAGGGAAATGTAGATCACTGCAATCAATCTTGTAAATTGGAAGAGAAAGACTGTGACTTGGGACGACTCCGACAAATATATACATAAGGCTATCAGGCTACCACAGGGTTATGCCCCACTTGGCTGGATGCCCGCTTTAACAGCACATGGAACTAACCGGTTGTATCTCCCCGCCACTTAAATACAAAAGTATTGATTATGTTTGAAATCATGTTAATCAGGGGAAGGATTTGATGTCTATATCTTGGAGCTTTCCAGCCGGTCGTAAATTGATTGGGTTTATTAAACGCGGCCGGAACTCGATCAAACAGCTACATACCATTATAGAAGATACGACGGTGCTGACACTGTTGGATATTCAGGAGTTCAGCCTTGAAAAGATATCAAGCGTAAGCCTCTCGCATTTCTGGTGTAATCAATATTGCAGTGTGTGCGTACGCATTGTGAATCCAGCCCTGGAAATCACAATCAATCCACTCGATGAACTCCATCGCCTTCGCCTCGTCCCATCGCAAAAGAGGAGAAATGTATTTGCCAAGAAACAAGTCTGGTACTCGAACAGTCGGATCATCTCGCCTGCATAAAGTGCCTCCAAAATCCAGAAAGACCGACCCCAGTATGGTCCCTTCTGGGCTTTGCAGAAGTATCACATTCTGTGGACGGAGATCTGTTAACAAGACACCCATTTTGTAAGCCAAACTTTCAAAACTGATCACCCAATTCATGATTCGCATGCGCCAATCTTGAGTGAAATCTTGGGAATCCGCCTGGTGCATACTGATCCCTGGCACATACTCGAGCAGAATCAGTCGGACCGTGCGTGTTTGAGAGCTCTCCACCGGCAGTTCGAGGGAATACGACCCGTGAAATCTAGGCAACAAGTGCCCTTGCATACGCCGCAGGGCGTCTTGATAAACATGGACCTCGTGGGTGTAATGCTGGTCCACGCACAGAAATGGGTTTATGACCCCCTCTTGATCATCAAAATAGAGAGGGTCATACACCTTGGCCACCAATATCCTGGTCTCTGGGAAAAGCTCGGGATCGAATCGACTTCCGCTGACGCGGACGGTAAAGATTTGGGACTTACGCCCATCCCCGACTTTGAGTAGATCAAGGATTTTTAGATCAGCGCTGTCCAATCCCACAGTCCCCTGCAGAGGAGGGTTTTTTAAACATCGCTTCACCGGACTGAGTTGACTTCTCTCCTTTCTGCCGGATCGGGAATTATGACAACAGTTTCGAGTAACCGGGGTGGGTGCAGGAGGAATATGTGATTGAGCCGTAAATGTGGAGCCTTTGGTATATGGTACTGGAGGTTTTGCAAGCTCAGTTGAAGGGCAGTCCATTGAGACAAGCCCTAGTAGAATCTTCTGGTCGTGAGTGTTTGGTTGAAGATGATGGAAGTCTCTGTTGTTGGCTGGGGGCCAAGGCTTTCGTGCGGGCTGAAGTCAGCCTTGGGAACTGTAGGTGTCCCGATCGGCAGCGCGGTCTTATAGCCTCCGCGTGGCTCATATCGTCTATAAATTGCCCTTGGTAAATAGGTAGAATGGTTATTATGAACAAAGTGGCATCAAACGACTTATGAAACGCTGAGTGTAGACACCAACTCCAATCATAGTGAATGTATAAGGAATGGAATTGACCAACATGCCCGCTGGCCTGTAGAGCTTTTCTATATACATGTTTTTTGATGGTTATAAAAGAGAAGCAATCCAGGACCGAAAACAAGGATGCCAATTGAGATACCCCAGAAAGAAAACCCCAAAGATGTAAGGACTTATACAGGTCGAAAGGCATGATATGGTAGAATTGGTTCCAAGGGAAAGAATGGCAACTGGATATCACTGCCCTTGCGTGGGAGTAACATACTATTTCTGATGACTGGTTGGCTTGCATTGGAAATTTTCCGAAAATGAAATAGTATGTGCTGATAAAGTATGCGAATTAAGATCTACTCAATCTTGATCTCTCGTTCCACTTAGAAATTTACTAACAACAACCCCCCAACCTTCTATTCTAGCCACTTCCTCATTCCAGTCCGCCAGACTGCAAGGGATTCCCACGGGGAATCCCACATTCTCCGGATAACACGACTGTTGCTGTCCGTCTGAGGTCTGGGATACGAGAATCAGAGGAGAAGGAATTGCCTGGAACCCACACCATGGGGGAGAATGTTGACTACCGCAGTTCTATAGACCGAAGCCGCTCTTTATTTAGATATAAAAAGGTGGCAACAACCAACCACCAAAATCTTTCCCTTCTCCTGGCACTGATCAACGTGAATTCACTTCCAGCTTCCTCTCTACCCATCACCCCAAACATGAAATTGTCGCACCTTGCAACCGCCCTGGGCATGTCCCACCTCGCTGCAGCCAGCGTCGCCAACACAGCCGCCAGAGGACCCTACGATGCAGCCTTCGACCAACACTGCGGGAGCGGCCAAGCTCAAGGAACGCTCACCGTCGACGGAAAGACCTTTTCCTACTACTGCAATGTCGCCCAGAGCACCGGCAACAGCTATTACATCAAACTGAGCACGCCCGAGAAGTGCACCGACGTCTGCGACGACGACGATGACTGCGACACGGCGGTGTGGGACCGCTCCCAAGGACAGTGCTGGCTGGGCCAGGGTACTGGAAACCGCGTCCCTTTCGCTGGTCGTATGGTCATCGCCGAGCTGGATCCGCTGGCCAAGTGTGAGGCCAGCCTGAGTAAATACCGACCTGGGGCCCCGACCTGTAAGTGATAGCATCGAAGCTTGTGTGCGACTTCATACTCATCGTATCACGCAGGTGCGGCTAGTGATCGGAAGATCGCGGAGGTGGACGACACGAGGTTCTATATCGTTTGTGGTCAAGGTATGGATCCTTGATGGTGCCTATGATAGCGGGCTGTTGTGCTAATGCCATACGATAGTACCCCCGACCATGACGCAACAGACCGGCACTTTCAACAACCTGGAAGACTGCCTAAGACCGTGCACAACTATCTCAACTTGTTCATTTGCATCTTTCGAGAACAAGAAAAATCTATGCTTCCATAGCTCGGAGGATTTCATCTCGTCCAAGCCAAACTACTATTCGAACTGGGACACTGGTGTCAAGATCCCCAAGTAAGGTTCGGACCCTTATCCTGGTGACTGTTCACTTATCCTGGGAGATTGGATCTACTAGAGGGTAGTCCTACCGTATGTGATGGGGTTCAACCCTTAGGACGCTTTTTGTATTTTAGTAAAACATGTCCCATTCAATCTGGCCGTCTCGGCTACTCATTCATTATTGATATCTACTTTGGTTCAATTGAATGTTATCAACAGTCTCAGGTATAGTCCAATGCTGGTCCTACGGAGGTACAACAACGTGTATGCATAAGCTTGACATGAACCATGTAGCTAGATGCGAGTATCAGTCCAGCCCCATTCTTTTCTAGACCATAGTTAGGTTGAAACCAGCTCATTAGATGACACGTAATGTGTCGCACTGAGTATAGGATTAATTACGGAGGTCAGAAAAATCATGATATCTCATGTAACAGAGTAATAAAACCTTGAAACTGGATGTATCACCGAGTTTACCAGTGGCGGAACACCTCTTTAGTATTCCGAGTCCTGCAAGATAGACCATCACTACTTCTTACGTATTGTTTAGAGCCTAGATATCATTATTAAAGTCATAAACTATACAATAAGAACGTCAACACAAGCAAGAGGGTCTATATTCTATGCCATGGATAGAGAAATGCAATGCTTCAATGGATATATAACACATGAGTACTATACTAATAGCAGGCGCTTAGGTGCTGGACATGTGGTTCGTCCAGACCAACAGTCTATTCACAAGAGCGAGGTTTTATCGACGAATCCACACAGGGCTAAGGAGAAGGAATAAAAAGATTACAGCAGAAGAGTGGCCAGGGCAGCAGCAGAGACCAGACCCCAGACGGGAGCGGACAAGACACCCGCGGCGCTCTCCTCATCCTCCGACTTGGAGTCGGCCTTGCCGGAGGTGTGCTTGCCAGGGGCGTTGGTCTCGCCCTCGGAGAGGGCCTTCAGGCTGATGCCCTTGACCTCCTTGCCGTTGTGGTCGAAGATGGTCTGCTCGACCGGGGCGGAGGAGACGTCGACGAGCTTGCCGGTCTTGGCGTTCTTGAGGCCGTTGTCGATCATGTCCTGGACCTTGGAGGGACGCTTGGGGAGATCGAAGGTCTTGAGGAAGGTGCCGTTCTTGATGAGACCCTCGCCGCATTTGGGGGCCTTGGCGCCGGTCTGCGACTCCTTGGCCGTCTCGACCTTCTTCATGTCCAGCTTGGCGTACTGCTCCATCAGGTTTTCGTAGTCGACCAGCAGGGTGGCATCGCCGTTGTCCTTGATCTTAACCAGGCCGTACTCGTTGTCCTCCATGGTGTACTCGTAGACCAGACCGCCCGAGAAAGACTGAGACATCTCGTCGCCGTAGATGGCCTGGACCTCGCTGAACTTGCGGGGCTTGACGGCGTTGCAGCCGTACTCGGAGAAGAAGACGGGGATGGAGGACTTGGAGAAGTCCTCGGTCAGGATGTCGTAGCCGGCCTTCTTGAAGGTGGCATCGCCGCACCACGAGTAGGAGTTGAGGCCGAAGAAGTCGGAGCTGGCGTTGGGCTCGTCCTTGTCCTCGCACATCATGTAGTTCACGGTGTCGACCAGGATGGGACGCACGTCGGCGGCGGAGTAGCCGACGGGGATGCTGCGATCGACCTGCTCCTTGATATAGTCCTTGATGTCACGCTGGACGGCACGAATGTAGGCGGGGACCTTCTTGACGCTCTGCTCGTTGATCACCTCGTTGCCGGCGAAGAAGCCGAGGAGGTTGGGGAAATCCTTGAAGGCCTCGACGATGCCGAACACCTGTTCGAAGTAGCCGGCGTTGTAGGTACCCTCGGGGTCGGTGCGATCGAGGGAGCCTCCCTGCAGCGGGGAGTTGACGTCGAGGATCATGTAGATACCGGCGGCGTTGAAGATGGACACGCATTCGTCATGATCGGCCTCGGGGGAGAGGTTGTAGATGCGGATGGTGTTGATCTAGATCGTGGGTTAGTATAGACGTCCTCACAGGGACTCCGACATGGAGTAAATAATAAAAGGAAGGGGGGGGCGAGAGGGGGACCTACACCCAGACGCTGCATGAGAGCGGCATCACGCAGGCAGCTCTTGGGATCGCTCAGGGGATCCTTGGACTTGGTGAAGCCTGAAGTACCGCCGGGTTGGTAACTGTTCATCATGACACCACGATCAGCACTCCCACCTTCCAGACGGAGTAACGAGATCGAAAATCCTTACTCGACGCCCATCACCTGGAAACGGTCTCCAGTTTTACTGTTGACGAAATCGCGGCCCTTGACCTCGACGGGCACCACGGCCGTAGCGGTGGTGGCCAGGGCGCACAACGCAGCCAGGACGCGACCGTATGTCTATGGGGTATCAGTATTTGCAATCTTTCTCCCATGGAGTTGACCTGGAGCTAGTCGTAGACACCCACCGGCAGCATGTTGTCGTTATAGATGTAAGATTGCGATCTGTGAGAGAATGACCGGACGACTCCTCACCTGGAAGAGTCTTGTTCTGAGGAAGTGAGAATTAGATTAAGGAGTGATAGCGACGAGCGCAAAAAGCAAGAGCTGTAAGATGGAAGTAGCGAGCGTGGAGAGCCAGAAAAGAATGACTGGATCAGTAAAAGAGAGTGAGAGAACGAGCAACGCTGAGGAAGACAAGAGGGGAGAAAAGGGGAGCGGGACATTATAACGGGCTTCACGATGATTATTTCCATTTATTGATTATTTCTTATTCCAGGACTAGGTCGTGCCTAGAAATTAATTAAACGACGGACTGAGGACACTAGAAGCTGGGCAAGGTGGAGGAGCCCCCGATGGTCCAATGGTTGACTGCTTGGCAGGAACCTGCGACACCAGGAACTCACTACCTACTCCATAGTTGGTTGGAAGGACGGTTGTATTTTTCCAAGCTGGCTGAAGTGGGATGAATCCATTCAAATCCTCTCGGGCCTACGGAGTATTTCGATTGACTCTTTCCATACTCGAGACATACGAATACAGAGGGTGAACCATATTCCTACATGACTGATATCCCTTCGATCAATTCTTTTATTTTACCCGCGCTAAACTACCGATGATCTCTTTTTAAAGAATACACCCCATCGAGACGGACGGGGGAAGAAGAAAAGGGGGGGAGAACAATGAACCGAAGACAACCAGAGAAAGTCCAGAAAATGGCAGCCTAGACCCTCGTATAGCGGACCGTGAAGGAAAAAGGGGAGAGGACAAGGAGAACGAAAAGGACCAAGTCATGGCACCGAGAAATACCAAGATGATTCCGCCACACCGGCGGCCAAGACAACAATGCAAATATACAGTGGTACCACAGACATATAAGGAAAAAGAAACGAAAAATACACGCACTCGAAATAGTGGAGATGCTGGGAGACGTCATATGGCAAATATAATCCGACTCTTGGGCCGGCAGGAGAGAAGTCTATCTACCACATGACAGATGAGGCCACGGTCCCGAGTGTTGTATAACACAGGAAGACACGGTGGGGGCCAAGATCTTGTATGCGGAATTCCGAAGGGTGACGGTGGATCGAAGGTTCATCAGAGGGAGGGCGCAATTCGGATTCGACGGGACAGGGAGGTCGGATGTGTTTATTCGACGCCGTGGTTGTCGGCACCAGCACCCGCACCGCCCCCGGTGAACGAGCCGACCTGCAGGACGGGGTCCATGGCGACCATCATGGCCAACACCTCGAGCACCTCCTTGGGGACGGTCTTGTCGTAGATGGCGATCAGGTCCTTGGGCTGGGGGTAGACCTTGAGGGCCTTGTAGAAGCAGAGAGCGGCCTCGATCTTGTCTGCATCTAGGAGGGATGGGTGAGTACTGACTCTATTTCAAGAGATTCCCTTCCCTGGGATCCAAGAGGGAGGGAACACATTCGACACATACCTTCACCGCAGATGGACTCGCCCTTGGCGACTTGGCCCATGAAGTAAGCCTCCTTCTCCTCGAGGTCGGTAGGGAAGCCCTCATCCTTGGCCTGCTGAACGACCTGCTTGATGGTTTCCCGCTCATGGGCACCCTGAGCTTCGACCTCCTCCTTGACGGCTCTGGCCATCCGTCGGTTGTTCCTCTTGAGGGACTTGCGGAAGTCCGGATCCGTCTGTCTCTTGTGATCGAAGTACACGGCGTAGGCTGGGGAACGAGGCGAAATCAGCATCAGTCGATCAGTTCTTCTTCTTTTTTCTTGTTCTTCTTTCCCCATCCAATTGGCAAGGTTGGCGACACTACTTACCCAGCAAGCCGGTCAGTACCGTGCCAGTGGAGATGGCGACCAACGTTGACGTCTGCATGTTGAGGTAGGAAGGGGGGAATGACTGGTGGATTGGAAGATCGGGGATGAAACTGGGGATGAGGAAGATCAACGGAGCTCCTCTTCGACAATTGAAAGAGTCAAGATATGAGAGAGATGAGATGGGTAGTTCGCGTACTGATCGAACGATCGAAGATAGCTGGTCGGCTGGTCGGCTAAAGAAAAAAAAGAGCGACGCAAAGGTGAGGGGATTATTATTCTTCCGTCCGCTTACGTAGTTCTCTTTCTCTCTCTCTCTCTCTCTCTCTCTCTCTCCGATCTCCAGAGTGGATCCAGTCCTGATACAACCCCTTCCTCATCCCTCATTGTCTTTCTTATCTTTCTTCCCCTCAACAGTCAACATGGAAGGACGCGGTTTAACCCTGCGAAGCAAGTCGCGCCGTCCTCGTCCCCAGATCAGTGCCCCTAAACCCATCTCGGATCCGCTGCCGCAGAACGGCAAGGGTGATCCTAGCCAACGGACCGGTTCGACCAGTTCAGGGTCGCGAGATCGTGGTCCGCCGAAAGAGAATGCGACCTCCGATCTGGTCAAGCGACGGTATTCCACGCGATTCAACCAACTGCCGGATTTCGATGCCAATGCGCCGCCGGTGCCGGGGCTGCCAGCCCTGCCGGTCGGGTACGGCCTCACCCCGCCGGAGGTGAGCCGGAAACCGTCCATGGAACCGTCGGGGCCCCCGCAGGTGGACCTCGACGCATTGAGGGATCCTAGTTTACCGGTCGATAAATGTGAGAACATCATTACTTCCACACCCTCTAGTTGGTGAAATACGGGCGGCTCATTGATATATTCCCTAGACGTGGCCAATCTTCTCTCCAAGGCCTCGGAAGAGGAGATCGAGGACTACCAAAAGGTTCTACGAAAGGTCAAGAACCGAACATCGACCGACCTCCAGCAGAATGTATACCAGAACCGCACGCAGTTCATCAAGATCAGCAAGGAAGCCGATAAGCTGAAGAGTGAAATGCGCACGCTCCGGGCGTTGATGGCCGAGTTGACCACGGCCCTCGGACAGACGGCGGTGGGCACGTCCCCGAACCCCATGTCGCTGTCCCCGGACGAGCCGTTACCCAAGCGCAATGGGAACCGCAGCTCCGTTGCCAACCTGGAGAGCATGTGGAACGTCCAGCTGCAGACGCTGTGGAAGACCGTCGAGGGGTCGCAGAAGTTCCTCCCCGTGGTGCCGGGGCGGCATATCGTGATGGAGACGGGCAACTGGGCCGAGCTGGACTCTGCCACGTGGAAGCCGCGACGGCCCGTCCACATCGTGCTGCTCAACGACCATCTGCTGGTGGCCGCGAAGAAACGCAAGCGGGTCGACCAGAGCAACCCGAACCACCGCGGCCCCGTGCCGACCAAGCTCGTGGCCGAAGAGTGCTGGCCCCTGCAAGACATCGACATGATCGATCTGGGCGCCCACCTCGGCAGCGGGCCGGCCCGCGAGGAGGCCGAAGAGCGCGGCATCACCAACGCCATCAGCGTGCGCGTGGGCGCCAAGCCGTTCACCTACCGCCACGACAAGCGGCATAGCACGGCCAAGGCCGAGCTCCTAGCGACGTTCCGCAAGACGGTAGAGGACCTGCGTCGCACGCTGCGCACGGAGACCGAGGCCGCGAGCAAGACCACCGACCCCTTTGCGTTCATGGGCCGACGCCAGTCCGTCTTCCTCCCCCCACCCGAGGCCGCCGACGCCGGGGACGACAGTCGCGACATGCCGGAATTGCGGATCGACGTCGACGGGAAGCAGCAGAATCTCCGCTGGGTGGAGTCGCAGGTCGACGACCTGGACATCGACATCGCGCTGCAGCGGTTCGAGGAGTCGGTGGCCAACATTGAGCGGCTGCGCAAGCTGGCGCGCGGCCTGCGGGGCAACTCGTTTGCGCAGGACGTGATCAACACCAAGGTGGACGAGCGAGCCGCCAAGCTGGCAGACGTGCTGGTGCGGGCGCTGGTCGACACGCCTTCCTTCCCGCAAGCGACCCAGCGGAAGGTATCCTGGCTGAGCCGGCTAGGCTTCGAGGACCAAGCGCGCGAGGCTTACTTGGACGCACGGTCCGACGTAGTCACCAAACGCATTCGGTATGTTTTACCTCCCCTCATCAAATCTGCAACAGGCATCAGACATACCATACTAACATCATCCAGGGCATGCGTCTTCGAAGGCGACCTCCCCCTCTACATCTTCCAAATCTCCTACGTCTACTTCGTGCTCATCAAAAACACCATCAGCATCTACCAGCAATGCTTCTCGCCCGCCATGAGCAGCGCCTGCATCGGCTGGGCCATGCGGCAGCTCGAAGGGTTCAACACGCTGCTCACGCGGCAGCTGAGCAGCGTCCAGCGCGGCACCAGCGTCTGGGACAAGTGTCTGGAGATTGTGCACAGCCATGCGGGTATGCTGTCCGAGGTGGGGGTGGACTTTGGGGATCTGGTGGCCAAGGGGTTGGGGGTGAATGGGGAGGATAAGAGGGAGAGGCCGAAGATGACGAGGTCGGAGTCGTTGATTTCGGGGTTGGCGGAGGCTGCGAAGGGGTGATCTATTATCTATTATTATCTATTATTATATATGGCATTGACCATCATACAATCCAGTTACCTATTGTTGTGTAATTGGACGATCTTTGCTCAACTTCTATGAAGCTATGATGGGATAGCTTCGCAGAGTGTATGTACCCAGTATCGAGTCCTGTCCGACCTGGACTCGACCTCGCTCTAGCATGTATGATCTACTCGTGTCGGACAGCTCTAGCCATGAGATACCATTCTCTAGGACTTTGACCAGCTATTCAAATGAACTGATACTAATGCTGATATTGATATTGATATTAATATTGATACTGTACTTCGGCCGTCGCACCCCATCCTCCGTTTATCCCACTCCAGCAGTAGTCTCTATTCTTCGAAGACAGAGAACCCCACCCAGCAAGTACCTCCATCGGCAACGCCATAAACACGTGAGAAACAAAGAACCACAATAATACACCATCGATAAAACACACCACAAAGAAGAAAGAAAGAGAACGAGAACGAGAAACTACCTCCCCAAAACCTCCACCGCAATCCCATACGCCCTCTCCCTCCTCACCCACGGGATCCCCCTCTCCCCACTTCCTCCCTCCCCGTCTGTCTCATCCTTAACAAACTTATCCCAAGCATGCCCCACCCCCTCCATCCTCTCACAAACAACGACCGACCTTCCAGCCGCCTCGATCCTCCCCGCCAGACTCTCCGCATCAAGCGCCATCGTATCCTGCGCTGCTGTCACAATCCCACACACAGGCGGATACCGCGCAGGGTCAGCCAACGCAGGTGAAACTCTCGGATCAGCCAGCGCAGAGGGGACATCCTCTTCCCTGAATCCAGCCATGTAGCAGCGGACGAAGAAGACGAGGATCCAGTTGGGTAGGAGCGGACGGGCGGATGAGTCCGGGGCTGTCTTGGGGGGGTTAGACGCGCGCATGTCGACCGCGGGATAGAAGAGCATGAGATGCGAGAATGGCGTGTCTGTTGTGGTGGATGTGGTGGTCGCTGTGACGGCGGCGATGTTGCCCCCGGCGCTGAAGCCGCTGAGTGCGAGTCGGGCGTTGGGATAGCGGCTGCGCGCCCAGGCGACGGCGTCGGCGGCGTCGTTGAGGGCTGCTGGGAAGGGGTACTCCGGGGCTGTGCGGTAGGATACGTCGAAGACGGTGTAGCCTGTTGTGGTGCTGATGCGGCGGCAGAAAGGGTCGTCGAGGCCGTGGGCGGGCATGACGAAGCCGCTGCCGCTGAAGTTGAGGAGGATGCGTTGGCTGTTGGTTTGGTTGCTTTGAGGAGGGTGGTAGATGTGGATTCTGATGGTGCGGTTGGGATCGCGAGACGGGATGTGCTCGATTTCGTCCGGGTGGGCGGTGATGGGGCTTGTGAGGCGGGAGAGGGTGCGGAGGAGGAGGGCGATGGTTTTGAGGTAGATGTATCGAAGCATGGTGTTGTGTAGTAGGTAGGGTTCGACGATGGGAGATGGAGACAGTAGAAGTGGGATTGAGAGATGGAGGAGAAGAGGTAGAATTGTCAGGTGTAGAGAGGGAGAGAAGAGAAGACGAGATGAGAAGACAAGAAGGGAGAAGGAAGAAAGAAGAACAGAAAGAGGAGAGGAAAAGAAGAAAAGATAAGGCCGTGACTGAACGGCGAATTCACTCATGGAAGTCCCCGTTACCATCTACATCTACACCATACAATGATCTCTCAACTATCCAACAAGATGGATTGTACTCCGTATAGATATGTCAAGTCTGAAAAACCCACCTCACATCCCTATCCCCCTGGAACCCGTTCTTCTCATCACTGATATCCCCAATCTCCACACTGATCCCCTCTCTCTCCCTCACCTCCGCCTTCCTCGCATTCTCCCTTCGCAGAACCCACCACAACACCGACACAACCCCCACGTTAGCAATCAAATACCCCAGCGCAACACCATGACCCACAAAGTACCGCGGGGCATACTCCGTCCGGTACAGCTGCGTGCCCATCACCGCCCCCAGGTTGCCAATGGAGATCTGCATCGCGTTGGCGATGGCGCGCTTCGTCTGGCCCGAGACGTTGTTCGCGGGCCAGGAGAGCACGATGGCCACCGCGGGGTAGATGCCTGCTGCGGCGAAGACGGTCCCGGCGTAGGAGACGCCGGGGCGGGGGTCGGATAGGAGCATGATGTAGCCGATGCAGCCGAGGATGGAGGAGCCCATGATGAAGGGGGCGCGACGCTGGGTCTTTTCGGAGAGGATGGCGATGATGATGGTGAGGACGAAGGCTGCGGCGTAGGGGGGGACGGAGAGCAGTTGGGCTTCGGCGGAGGTGTAGCCGAGTTCTTTGATGATGGTGGGCTATCCTTTGTTAACGTGAGGTAGTGCTATGGAAGGTTGGGAGTCTTACCAGGAATAACGACAGGGTGTATAGTGGAAGAGACATAGTATGGAACCCCAGCCCATACAGCCACACCTTGGGATCCTGAAGGGCATCCAGCACAGCAGACCAGGAGAAAGCCTCGTCTCGGATCGAGTCATTGTCCGTCTTCAGTCGATACTGAATGAACGCGCGCTCTTTATCCGACAGGAACTCTGCCGTCGAAGGGTAGTTGTACACCCAAAGATAGGCGACCAACGACATGACCACCGTCAAGAGACCTTCCTGTTCTCATTAGTATCAGATCAGATTATCTGGCTACAGTAACATACCAGAATGAAGATCCATCGCCAGCCGCTATACCCGCCGACGCCTTTCATATGAGCGATGCCCTATCCAATACAGTCAGTGGAGTCTGCTTCATGTACTCCGGACCGTGCATACATACCCACGCGAGAATCCCCCCAAAAGCCCCCGCCAACGACGCCGCGCTGAAGAACAACGCCACGCGATAATGCTGCTCATTCCGCTTATACCACATGGACAGGTAGAAGACCACCCCAGGGAAGAGGCCGCTTTCCGCGATGCCCAGCGCTACGTCTGTCAGTTTCCTCCTGGGCCTCCGTCAGACGGGAGAAGAGACATACCCGTTCGCGAAACCAAATACCCAGGGTAATTCTGCACCACGCCCAGCAAGGTCGCCACAATCCCCCAGATCAACGTGAGCGTCGGGAGCCAGATCCGCGGTGTCGTCCGCTTGAGGATGATGTTGCAGGGGATTTCGAAGACGACGTAGGCGATGAAGTAGAGGGTTAGACCGGTGAGGTATTGGTTTCCGGCTTTAACATTGTATGTTAGTAGATATCGTATGTATAGTGTTATATGGGTGAACGCACTCATATTAACATCCTCCGTTAGCCCCTCCAGTTTGGCATTTCCCACTATTACTCCGTTAGCCTTCATCCCACCTGTGATGTCTGCGTAGGAGATATACCATTACTCCGGTCCAAAAACGACAACAAATACAGAATAGTCAACGGTGGAAGAAGTCGCAAGTCAAGCTTCCGTAGCAAAGCCTTCTCATTGATCGCCTGGTGTTCTGCGTCTCCGAGGGTGCTCTCGCTGGAGGTGTTGGGGCTTTTAGCCCAGGGGTCGTCTGATTTGGATTTCTCCTGTGGTTGTGACATTGTCCAGTAATGTAATTGTCAATTGATCAAATCAATTGATCAGTTTTTATTCCAGAGAGACGAATATATCATATAAGAGGCGAAAGTGAAGTAAGAATTCTCCAACTTGCAGATAATTACAACAATCTTTAGAGCGAAAGCAAGAACCACATGGCAGCACACCATCACCACCACCCCTCGCGCGATAACCACCCCTCGATAGCGTATCAATCATGTTGATCCTTGCGGAGAAGCATGATTTCATCCATCGTCTGGAGCAATACTACTACTGCATCTTGGTAGTAAGTAGTAAATACTAAGTAGATACTAGGTACGATGAGCAATGGGGTCCCGCGATGACGAGATCGGGGTTGTGGAGTGGATACCACCTTCTATCCAGTTATTCTCTTCTATTAGATTTGAAACAAGAGATAAAGCGAAGTCAACAAGGTGAAGTTCCTCTGATCACGCCATCAAAGTGTCGATGGAGTGATTGTGGTGGATGATTGGCCTATTAGATTCTTTATCGGGTAGATCGCGTATAGTATAGTATAGTATAGTATAGTATACAGTACTTTTGGATAGTATCTGATATCTCTTCAGGTCAACAACAAAGTAAAGAATAAGTATAAAAAAGTAAAAATGATATTATCAATGGTGGATATTGTAGTCCAGTCGCCATTGTCGACAACGCCAATCCGTCCGTTATAAGTTGGGTATCCCGTAGTATCCATCCATCCATCCCATATGATATCCATATCCATATCCCAGATCATGCCAGATCATATCCATATCCTGCGCCTGATGCCATGCCAGATGACAATCAATAAGAAAAGAAAGAATGAAAGAATGAACGCCAAACAGAACACAAAACACGCCAAATGCAAAACACACACAAAAAACACACTGAACGCAAAGAACACACAACACACAACACACGTAAAACACGACACACACAACACACACAACACACACAACACACATAACACACATAACACACACCACACAAATACACACAATACACCATACATAAAATAAGTTATGTAGGAAATTCATCTAATCTATATCACAAGGACTAAAAACTTCCAAGCGAAACTACAAAGCTAACGAGACGGCATTCTTCAACCAAACAATCTGGCGGAATGCAACAACCATCTGGGCCACAGACTTCATCCACAAGCTAAGGCGCCAACACCAACGCCAACAAGGCCATGCGGCAGTACAGCCCATATCGCATCTATACATCACATTAGTAAATCGTCGAAACCAGGGGGAGAGAAAGAAAACTAACCTGTCGGAAATAGGCCGCCCGCTGGTCAAAGTCCACCTCCTCCGCAATCTCCATGTTCCGCGGCAGCGGATGCATCACCACCATGTGGCTCTTAGCATGCTTCAGCAGCGCGTTGTCGATCACGAAGCTGTTCTTCAGACGCTCGTACTGGCCCAGATCCACGAATCGCTCCTTCTGCACCCGAGTCGAGTACAGCACGTCCGACCGCGCCACGATCTCCGGCGTCAGCTCCTCCGATTCCACCACCAGCTGCCCAGACGCGATCACCTGCTGTCGCACCTCCTCCGGCAGAGACAGGTCCTTGGGCGCCACCAGCTGCACGCGCACGTCGTAGAACTGCAGCAGCTTGATCAGCGAGTGCACCGTCCGGCCGTACCGCAGGTCGCCTGTGAACGTGATCGTCAGCCCCGTCACCGTGCCCAGCTCTTCGCGGATCGTGAAGAGGTCGAGGAACGCCTGCGTGGGGTGCTCCACGCTGCCGTTGCCGCCGTTGATGATCGGCACGGGCGAGAACTGCGCCGCTGTCTCCATGCTGGTCGGCAGCGGGTGACGCAGGACCACGGCGTCCGCGTAGCAGCCGAGCGTGCGGATCGTGTCCTGCAGCGTCTCACCCTTCTGGGTGGACGAGTGCTGCGTCGCGATGGCCACGGTCCGGCCGCCCAGACGCTGCATGGCGGCGTCGAACGACGCCGACGTCCGCGTGGAAGGCTCGTAGAAGAGCGTGCACAGGACGCGGCCCTTGAGCACATCGAGCACACCCTCCCGCTGCACACCAAGGCGCATCTCCTGCGCGACGGTGAAGAGCAGGTGCAGGTCCGAGCGGTTGAACTGGTTGACGGACAGCACGTGCTTCTGCTTGAACGGCGAACGCGCCAGGATCTGCGTCAGCTGCGACGCAACCTGCGGGACGTTGTAGAGAGGCGGTCCGAGCTCGCTGGTGGCGGGAATGCCCTGGTCCAGCCCCTTGCGCAGTTGCCGGCCGGGAGTGCCCGAGATCGAGCCGCGGCGGTCAAACGGCTCCGTGCGGCCATGCACCATAGGAGACATGGCCTTGACAGAGGGGGACGCCGGCATGATCCGGTGGCCGGACATGTCGGCACCCTTGGGAGCGTCGGGAGAGACCACGCCGTCCAGGCAGGCCGTCTTGCCCTGGAAGATCACACGCTGGACGGAGCCGCGCACGCTCTTGCCGTTGAGAGGGGACCAATCCGCCGACTGGTACTGGTACGGGCGGTCGACCTCAATCTCGACGGAGCTGTCGGCCTGCTCGTGCAGCTCGAAGATCTTCTTGGGGTTGTCATAGAGACGCGCCACGATGTCGTCGACCGTCAGGCAACCCTCCGCAACGGCGGTGAACAGCAGAGGCAGAGACTCGGCAATACCGGCCACGGGAGAGGCCTTCTCACCGGCGAGCTGGAAGGGAACGCTGCTGACGGAGAAGACGTCGATGGTCGCCAGATGCTCCCACAGAGCCTTCTGGTCCTCAGCCGACGGCAGGAAGCTGCACAGCGGGTAGTCGTCGCGGGAGAAGAACAGGCAGAAGATCGACACATCGCAGGTCACCCGGAGGCCCTTCTCCTTGCTCAGCGCGATCAGGTGGATGTCCTCCTTGGACGTCACGCTCATCACGTGGATGTTGCGGCTGTGGAGGCTGGCCAGCAGCAGCACCGAGGCCAGGTCGGTGGACTTGGCGTCGGTGATGATGGGCTTGCTCGAAGGCCAGGCGCCGAAGTGGCTGGTGACCGCCGCGACCTTGCTGATGTTCCCGGACAGGTGGTTGAAGGGGATGAACAGGGAACCCACATCGCCGGTCACCTGGCCGATCTGCTCCGCGTTGGTCGAGGTGGCCACAACCGAGAAGTTGAAGTCGCAGAACGAAGACTTCTGGGCAGTCTGCTGGGCAACCTTCAACGACCGCGCATCGGTGATCGAGGCGTCAACGCCAACGGGCATGACACGGATCATGCTGAATCCGGCCGCGATCGAGGCCTTGGTCACCCGCTCGAAGTTGGGCGAGCTCGGGGTCACGAGGTCGGGCACGAAGGCGGCGACGTTGACCAAGCCCGGAAGGATGATGGTCCGATGGCTAGTCTGATAGTCGATGGTCTGCACGTTGAGCGAGTAGTTGCGGGCGATGGCCTCGATCAGGATCTTCGCGTTCTTGACGTTCGTCACCAGGGGCGTCTGGTAGTCGACGGCCATACGGCGAGTGCGATAACCCTTGGACATGTAGTTGGCCGGGCGCCGGAATCGGTTGCTCGAGGGCAGGTTGATGTAGAGATCGATGAGGTTGTTGGACAAGTGCTGGGTCAACGAGTATTCCGACTTGATGTCGTCCTCCTGGCCCGCAAGCACCTCCAGGTACTTGACCGGGACGCCGTTCTCCTTCAAGAAATCGGCGGTACCCGCGGTGGCGAACAGGCAGTACCCAATCTGGTGCAGCTTCTGGATGGACGGCAGCATCTCCAACTTCTCCTTATAGGAACCGATCGAGAACAGGACCTTGGCCTTGGGCAGGCGGAAGCCGGTAGAGAGGAGGGCCTTGAGATACGCCTCGTACTTGTCGCGACCGAACGAGGCCACTTCACCCGTGGACGCCATCTCCACACCCAGAACTGGGTCCGCGCCGGACAGACGCGAGAAGGAGAACTGAGGCACCTTCACACCGACGTAGTCCTTGGGGATGCTGACGGGCGGGTACTCGGTGAACGGCGCGCCGATCATGGCCTTGGTGGCCATCTCGATCAGATCAACGCCCATCACCTTCGACACGAACGGGAACGACCGAGAGGCACGGACGTTGCACTCGATGACCTTGATGTCGTTGTCCTTGGCGATGAACTGGATGTTGAAGGGGCCGGTCACGTTCAGCGCGTTTCCGATCTTGCTGGTGGCCTCCTCGATGCGGCGCACGGTCTCGGGATCCAAGTCCTGCGGGGGCAGGATCAGGGTGGCATCACCGGAGTGGACACCAGCGTTCTCCACGTGCTCGGAGATGAAGTGACCAACCATGACACCGTTGCGGGCCACAGCGTCCATCTCAATCTCCTTGGCATTCTCGATGTACTTGGTGATGACCACGGGGTGATCCCGGGACACGTCGGCCGCCTGGTTCAGGTAGCTAGCCAGATCGTGCTCGGAGTAGACGGTGTTCATGGCCGCTCCCGAGAGCACGTACGAGGGACGGACCAGCACGGGGTAGCCGACCTTGTTGCAGAAGCCGGTGGCCTCCTCAATGCTGGTCAGCTCCTTCCAGGACGGCTGGTCCACGCCAATCCGGTCCAGCATACGCGAGAACTTGTACCGGTTTTCGGCACCGTCGATCATCTCCGGGGAGGTACCAAGAATCTGGACGTTGAGGCGGTGCAGGGGCAGCGCAATGTTGTTGGGCGTCTGACCACCCATGGACATGATCACGCCGCTCGAGGCTTCGAGCTGGTAGATGTCGAGCACGGTCTCCAGGTTGATGTTCTCGAAGTACAGGCGGTCGGCCTCGTCATAGTCGGTACTCACAGTCTCGGGGTTGTAGTTGACCATGACCGTCTTGTGGCCCTGTTCACGCAGGGTGCGGATCGTGCGCACGGAGCACCAGTCGAACTCGACCGAAGATCCAATACGGTAGACACCAGAGCCCAGCACCATGATCCCGTTATCGTCGAACGCCACGTCATGCTCTGAAGCGTTGTAGGTGAGGTACAGGTAGTTGGTCACCGACGGGAACTCGGCCGCAACGGTATCAATCTGCTTGACGATGGGGATGATGCCGGATTCGACACGGAGTCGACGCACCGCCAGTTCATTGGAGCTCAAGAACTTGGCCAGCTGGCGATCCGAGAAACCCAGCTGCTTCGCCTGGCGGATCCAAAGCTTGGGCACCGTGTTGGCATTGTAAGACGACATCAGCTTGCCAAAGTCACTCAGGCCCTTGAGTCGGCTGAGGAACCACTTGTCGATCTGGGTGAGTTTCCAGATGTCATCGACGCTGTATCCGGCCGCCATGGCGTTGGCGATGGCGAAGAGACGCTGATCCGAGGGGGTCTGCAGCTCTCCCTTGATGGACATGAGCGCGTTGGTCTCGTTGAAGCCCATGTTATGGAAGTCCACGGAGCGGATGGCCTTCTGAATGGCCTCCTCGAACGTGCGACCGATGGCCATGACTTCACCGACACTCTTCATGGAGGAACCCAGCTGGGTGGAGACACGGGTGAACTTCTTGAGATCCCAGCGGGGGATCTTCACCACGCAGTAATCCAGGGACGGCTCGAAGCACGCGCAGGTGACCTTGGTGACGGAGTTCTTGATCTCGTTGAGGGGGATGCCCAGACCCAGCTTGGCGGCAATAAACGCCAGAGGATAGCCGGTGGCCTTGGAGGCAAGCGCGGAGGATCTTGACAGACGGGCGTTGACTTCAATGATGCAGTATTCCCGGGAGAACGGGTTGAGGGCATATTGGATATTGCACTCGCCGACCACGCCCAGGTGACGGATCACGTTGACCGCCGTGGTACGCAGCATGTTGTAGTCCTCGTCCGAGAGCGTCTGGGAGGGGGCGACCACAATGGAGTCACCGGTGTGGATACCCAGGGGATCGAAGTTCTCCATGTTACACACGGTGATGCAGTTGTCCTGGGCGTCGCGGACGACCTCGTATTCGATCTCCTTCCAGCCCTTCATACTCTTCTCAATCAGGACCTGCGGGCTGGCAGCAAAGGCCTTGGTGCAGAGGTCCTTCAGCTGGTCCATGTCATCGGCAAAACCGCTCCCGAGACCGCCCAGGGCGTAGGCGGCACGGACGATGACGGGGAACTGGATATCCTCCACCACCCGCATGGCCTCCTCCAGGCTGGAGGCGGACGCCGATTGCGCGCACTTCTCGTTGATCGACTCCATGCTGCGAGCAAATAACTCGCGGTCCTCGGTGGTGATGATGGTATCAATGGGGGTACCGAGCACCTTGACGCCGAGGGACTCGAACTCATCCTTGAGCTGGATACCGACCTGGAGGGCGGTCTGGCCACCAAAGGTGACGTAGATGGCATCGGGGCGCTCGTGCTTGATGACCTTGCGCACAAAGTCCGCGTTGACGGGGAGGAAGTACACCTTGTCGGCCAAGCCCTTGGAAGTCTGGATCGTGGCGATGTTGGGGTTGATCAGAATGGTGTAGATCCCTTCCTCCTTCAGGGCCTTGATGGCCTGACTGCCCGAGTAATCGAACTCTCCGGCCTGACCAATGCTCAGACCGCCACTGCCCAGGATCAAGACCTTCTTGACGGAGACGCGGGGAGCGACCTTGATGTTCTCTTCCTTGGTGCCTCCGGGGAACGACACGGGTTTGTTCAGCGCGTCGGGGGAAGCGAGGGTGTCTTGGATGGTGCTGATGAACACATCGAAGAGATACTCGGTGTCGCGGGGACCGGGGGTGCTTTCCGGGTGGAACTGGACGCTGAAGTAGGGGCGGTTCAGGTGGCGGATACCCTCGTTGCTGCCATCGTTGGCGTTGACGAACAGCTCCTCCCAGCCGTCCGTGAGGCTGGCGGCGTCCACGGCATAACCGTGGTTCTGCGAGGTGATGTGGCATTTGCCCGAGATCATGCTGGTGCAGGGGATGTTGTGGCCGCGGTTACCGAACTTCATCTTCGCGGTGCGCGCACCGGACGAGCGGGCGATCAGCTGGTGGCCGAGACAGATGCCGAAGACGGGCGTACGGCCCTCCTCGAGGACCTTGGACAGGTTCTCGACGGTCTTGGAGAGGGTGGCGGGGTCACCGGGACCGTTGGAGACGAACAGACCGTCGTAGTTCTTACCAGCCAGGGTCGGGAAGTCATAATCCCAGGGAACCACGAGGACCTCGACACCACGGGCCAGCAGGCACCGCAGCTGGTTGAACTTGAGGCCGACGTCCACGCAGAGCACGCGGACGGGACGGCCCGAAGGGTGTTTGAGGGCAACATTGTCGGGCGGGGAGTACAGCTTGGGTTCCTTGATGGAGACTATTGGGAAAGACGGTCAGATCGGATTCCTTTATTTCTTTCTGCATTGATTGGTAGTAACTTACCCTCGCTCACGAGGTTCTTCACGTTGGGATCGACCCAGTCCAGCTCCTCAAAGACGGGCCTCCAGCTGTCCTTCTCTGTGGGGGCCTCCTCCCGATCGGACTTGGAGAGCAGCATGCGACCCAGCATGCTACCCTTCTGACGGATGCGCTTGGTGAGGGCACGGGTGTCCACACCGTGCATGGCGGGGACGCCCTGCTCCTTCAGCCATTGCCCCAGGGACGACTGAGCGAGGAAGTGCGAGTAATCCTCGCCCGCGTAGGAGGCAATGACGAGAGCGGCGATGTGGATCTCCGTCGACTCAAAGTGCTTGGGCAGCGTCTTGAGCAGCTCATCCATGGTCTCCCGGGAGGGAACACCGTAGTTACCCACGAGCGGGAAGGTGACGACCAGAACCTGACCCCGGTAAGAAGGATCGGTGACGGATTCCGGGTAGCCCACCATCCCCGTCTGGAAGACCAATTCACCGGACACGCTCTTCTCCGCACCAAAGCTGTAGCCCTGGTAGACGGTTCCATCTTCCAGCTCGAGGGCAAACATCTTCCCACTGCTTCCTCGGACTCGCGAGGAGGCGGGCGGGATCACCGCGCCATTGGTGTTCTTCAAGGAGGGCAGGGGATACAATTCCTTGTTGGCCTGAGTGTACGCCACGGGCCCTCCGGACAGAGGGCTCGAGGGAACGGCGACATCCTCGGATTGAGGCATTGCGGGCGAATGGTGGGGGGAGGGGCAAAGGTCCTCGCGGGGACAAGATCTGTATAAGGGAACACTCTACCGTAGCATCAGCAGCTTTCCAAGATTCTTTAGCAAAGACCGTGGGTATGGAGGGTCGAATTGCAATGACAAGAACTCTTCTTCTGCTGCTTTTGCAAGGGTATGGGTACAGCAGAAGAGAGGAGAGAGGAGAGAAGAAAAAAAAAAAGAGAAGGAGGAAGAAGAGAGAGGGAGGAGAGAAGAAGAGGAGGAAAAAAAGAACCAGAGCGGGAATCCTCCAGCATCGGATCGGGAACGGCAGAAACAAAAATTCTGTGAACCAGCGGAGGGGCCCGGGGGATGTGATTGGGCCGTGGGCTCACCGGTCGCGGGGACCATGACTAATTCCGCCCCGGGTCTTCACCGCGAAAGGAAAAAATTTTTCCTGAGTGAGACAAGTTTGGATTCCGTCATGGCAGTTCCATGGATTGTCTCGATATCAGGTGTTCCTTTATCTTTCTGATCAATTGTCTATCTATTCTCATGTATCCTGGTTAAATTTTTTAAGAAAATATGCAGATCAATCAATTAGATACTCATGGAAAAGAAAAGGAAAAAAATGAAGAAAAAATGGAAAAAAAAAAAAAAAAAAAAA